AAATAATATCTCTATCTAAGTACTAGATGTTTAAGTGTCCTACCTGTTGTGTAAATTAACCATGACATCCTATTTTACTTATCCAGAGGGTTCGAAAATATTTTTAAATCGAAGTTTCATTTGAAAATGTTTACGTTAGACGTTTCAAACCATTATGTTGAATTTTTCAAAATTTTTAAATAAGGTGTGTTAAGATGAAATTTGTATCATCAATTAATTGAAATATTCTAAATAGTACAATTTGTTGACCAGAATAAAGATTGGGACATATTATTCAGTTACAACAAGAGTGGTATTGAGCGAAATGTGCCGAAAGATCGAATTTGACAAACATCAATTAAAAAAATGTATTTTTTATATGGTGTCGGCGTTTCTTTCATAATGGCTGCCAAATTTGGTATTATTATTATTATTATTATTATTACAGTGCGCTCTTTATAGTGCGCCCTTTCATATAACATGTTCAGGGGCATTTTACAAAGTGACAATGTAATCATAAATAAACAACACGATTATGGACATGTTAACGGTTGTATACAGCAGAGTCAGTTAAAAGCCTGATTAAATAAATGTGTTTTAAGTTGTTTTATAGAAGAATATAGAGATGTACAACATCTTAAACTAAATGGTAGATTATTCCATAATACAGGTGTTTGATAACTAAAAGGGTGCTGACCATAAGAGACTACTTGGACATTTTTGAACTTTTAAAGTAGTTTGTCTGATGTACGTAATGTTCGGCCATTATATCGTGGTTATGTATGCGAAATGTGCGGAAAAATCGAACTTGACAAACATCAATTAAAGAAATGTATTTTTCATATGGTGCCGAGATTTTTTTTAAAATGGCTGCATAATTTGGTAATATAATGTAATTTAACAAAAAACACAGAAATTTGGCAATACAAGGGCATCTCGTAAGATACGTAAGATATGACTTTTGCTATGTCTTTTATATGGTTTTCGGTAAACGCGCTTTAAATATCTGGATACGATAGACTTAGTGTAGAAAAGTCAAGGTACATTATATCATTGGCAATAATAAAGATCCATTTTTTTAATTGAAGTTTGTCAAATTCGATTTTTCCACACATTTCGCTTGCATAACCACTCTGTGTTTGATGAATTTAAAACGAAATTATTTATCCCCCCCACCACCACCACTGAAAGACACTGATTACGAGATATCGCTCTCCGATAATTCCTGAAGAACGCTAAATTGAATTCTGTTAATGGTGTCATTTTTGGCTGATTTTGAGTATCATTTCGTCTGACATATTTATCATTGAATCAAACTGCATTGGTTATACCAAGAAAAAACATAAAACGTTTTCTTAAGTAAAGCTATATGACGCCATGACGTCATAGATTTTATGGCGTCATAGTTGAGACCCAAAATGGCGCCTGTAAATGAGTTGTCGTAACTTTCCCAAACAGGGCTTTGGTCGGGATACCCTTTGGTCGTAACGTCATTGTGACATCATTATCAAATTTTATTGTAACTGCGCTCGGAAAACTGTTGGAAACCACGAACCGCTGTACATCTATAGCCATCTAATAAAAGCCGATAAGAATAGTCTACCCACTTGGAATATGAAAACCAAAATATATAAAATCGGCATCTTAATATTTATTTATTTCCAGAATATAGAAATATCAATGAAATAGAACACATCCGATGTTTCCATGGCCAGCTTATTAAACTCAGGTTTCTCTTGAGGACCCCCGAGGTTGAGTTTGCGTTCTTGCATATATTGTTTATATGAGTTTCCCAATTTAAGTCCTTTAAGATGGTCAATCCAAGATATGGGTTTGTGACTACTTGTAGTATGGTGTGATCGAGGTGGTAGAAGAATGAAGGCTTCTGTCGAATGCCGAGTATGTAACATTTCTTGCCATTAAATTTCATGCCCCAGAAACGTGCCCTGTTTTCTAGCTCGTTCAGGTCGCTTTGGTGTAGGTTGTGGTCATTTCTAGACTTGATTTCTCGGTAGAGTAAACAATCAATTGGCGAAAAGGCGGTCTCTAGACTTCACAGTGTCCGGTAACGGGCCCAGGACTGTTCCTTGTGGAACGCCGGATATTCATCTGTCTGTAGTTCAGGAATGAGGATAGCCAAGCCAACAGAGGACCATAGTTTTCTGGAGGAGTTTGTTGTATGGGATCGTGTCAAGGGCACGAGAAAAATTTAGTATAGCAATATCCATTTGTACTTTCTTATCTGAGGATTGTAGTACAAGTAGTTGTGTTTCGATGGAAGGGCCCGACCGAAAGCCATGATTTAAAGATAGAGAGAGAGAGAGAGAGAGAGAGAGAGAGAGAGATGGGGTTTAACGTCAACTCGACACAAACTAGGTCATTTCGGGACTAACATTGTTCAATTTTATTTCAATAATTCGCTTGCGCGTAGGGGTCTTTAGCTGTGTGAGGAAACCGGAGGACTCGGAAAAAACACACGAGATTGGATAGGCAACCCTACTCCTTGTCACGAACAACCGAGGAATCGAAACCACGCCAGTTGACTCAATAACAAACCTTATGATACAGCGCGGACGCGCTAACCATTCATCCATCCAACCCCCCAGTTCTTGTAAGTCTTTTTTCATTTCTTTTGGGCATGTAGAAGCATAAGACATAAAGGTCATTCCTTCCTTTAAGTTAGATTTTGACACATTCTAGTTCGCAATCTGTAATGTATTCAGTGCATTCCACTGTTGTTGGATTTGACTGGGCTGCAATAAATACCCCCCATCCCCGGCGTTTCTGTTGTTTCTTAATACCTGATAGTTGTCTGGGAGAATTTCAGCGTTCTTGGTGGAGTCGGGTTTTGGTGATCTACCAGATGGTATACCTCTTAGCCAGGATTCCGTTCCACAGATTATATCTGATTTCACATGATTAATGACGGCTTTGAATTCAGAGTTATTTTCTTCTGCACCTCCGCTCTCCTTTACGCAAATGACCACTCTGCTTTACGCAAATAGTATAAAAGCATGTAATACCCAAAGCCCAATATAGGAGGGCTTTGGTAATTCCAAGACTTGTGGAACATCTAGAGGTCAGAAGTTTTATCCGATTTAGAGTATCACTAGCTCTTGGATGAGTTTAATTTTGGGATTTGGGATTTGGGATTTAGGTAAGTCACCTAAGTTAGGCTATAATGGACAACATTAAAATAGTGTTCACGGGCTGGTCTAGCCGGAAAACGCTAGTTGGAGATGTGGTCACAAATATACAATAAAAACATTTGGTAAGTTTTATGCAATGCGTCTATTCAGAGTAACATACCAACTTGAGGGGGTTTTTTTTGCTGTGTAGTATATTTCTCGTTGAAGTGAAACCCCTTTCATAAAAGGCTTCTGGTTATTAAAAAAAACTTAAAAATCACATCATAATCCAAAGGTACAATAAATAATAAACTACACCAACCATATATTTATCGCTGATGTTATCCGTGCGTATACAAAATATTACACACTTTCTTCTTTATATCATACTAGAAGAATGACCCCGAAACCGAAAGTGGTAGACTAACGCCACCTGGCCTATGTTACTCCCCGGTCCGAGCTACCCCTATACCCCAAATTTCAGACTCGGGGCAGACCTAGTGTAGACGCCAACACCGAACAGACAGACAGACAGACAAACAAACAAACAGACAGACAAACGAGTCACAAATATTAGTATAGATAGATATTTTTATTGGCAGACTTATTCAACCAGGATGTAGCCCAAATAACTATTTTATTTTTAAACATAGGATGGTCTTAAGGAGCGTAAACGATTTGACAATTCATTATATTTGCTCAAACCAGTGAGGTGTTACATAGAAATAAAAGATCAGTATAGATTATAATAGGATTTTCTTCTGAAAGCCTATGTTCTAGAAGTCACACTTCTATGTTAAAATCAGACCTCGTTGTATCTAACGGCATAACTATTTGCGTGCAATAATCCGGAGAAAAACGTACAGCCCCCCCCCCCCCCCGCCCCGCGGGTCTGATAAACAGTGTCTTTAAAGTGGCATTATGGAAGATTAGATAAAGAGCTGGTAGTCCTCTCTATAATTGTCAAAAAAACATATGCTGAAAATTTCAGTGAAATTGGTCAACTCTGAACAGAAATACTAACGATTGAATTTTAGGTCTAGTCTCGATCATGATTACAAAAGTCGGTACACGAAAAAAAGTCCCGGTTATCCATTTTTACGTTTAATTATTTTTCAAAAAAATGTATTTCAATCAGCTAAATATCACGGGCCATCGATGACATCGAGAGTTGATTATGGTCTGGATAAGTTAATTAATGTCTAATTAATAATTTATACAACATTTCAAGCCAGGAAAGACCTCCAATGGACAGATTTAGCTCTTGCATAATGTATATTTTAGTAAGCCTACATACCGCTTCCGCATGGCAAAAACTGGGGCGTACAATGATCTATTATTTTAAGATAGTTTCTTAAAGGAGTGTGGTTCCGCCTTGTCGGTGATGCAGGACGGAGGGCCTGACAAGGACAAATGTCTAGTCGTTCGGATGGGACGAAAACCGAGGTCCCGTGTACACATTGGCGTGCACGTAAAAGATCCCTTGACAGTTGGAATTCGATATAAGAGTAGGCCGTAGTGCCGCTGTCCGGGCAAAATTGCCTTCATAGCACACTGTATGGCGTATTCCCATCTTCATTAGCCGAGTCGAAGCAGATTTGTTGGATGTTAAACCCCATTTCATTGAATTCATTTCATTTCACTTAAAGGCGTTAAACATGTTAGATTTAGATATAAATAAAGTTTAAAACGAGCGGGGGGGGGGGGGGGGTTACTGTATTTACTATTTTGAATAGTGAGGGGACAAGTTATATACGAAAGCAAAATTCGTTTATTTATTAATTTTATGACCGTTACCTTGTATTTTAAATAGGAACCAGATACCTGCAAGAGACTTAAACCATCTCTCTCTCTCCCTCTCTCTCTCGATGATCAAATATTATTTATATTTACCTTTTTATGGTGTATTCCCCTTTCGGACGGTTGACATATAATACTACACAATCTGTACTCGGTATGACAGGATGTTCTAGCTGTTTCTCGTCTGTATTTATTAACGTTATTATCCATGTATAACTACTGTTTGTTGATTCAGGTGAAAAACTGGAAGATATAATGTATAAGTACGTGTATAAGTCTATTAGTACCGGCATTATACTCCAAGTTATACCAATCTGATTAAAACACAGATCATATTTCGTTTTGTTTTTTATAGTTGAAAATTTCGTTTTATTTGTCTTTACTACACTAGGATCTGGAAGAGTTGTTATATAACCCGTGTTCTGGATGATGTGAGGGATTAGCCAACGAAATGGTCTGTTGTGGCGAATTTTTGGAATGAGGTGCACGGAACTGTAGGTAACCCACTAGAAACCACAACGTTGATTGTTTAATCAATGTCTGACGTCATAGGGTCAAAAGCCGCTCGCATGTAGTAGAGGCCCTCGGAAGTATAAAAAAAACGAAACAAAATATAGAAGTTATACAATCAGGTCATTTCTTCGACACATAGACTCGGGTTGTCTAATAACCCTGCAATAAATTACATAGCCTGTGTCCAATACATAGGGACACAGTTTGAATCTTAAGGTACTATAGCTTTAAACATGCATTCTGCAAGAGCAAAATCTGCTTATTACAAGTCTTTCTTTAGGCCTGAAATTTTATCTAAATTATCAATTAGACATTAATTAACTTATCCAGACCATAATAAAGTCAGGCTAGCCTTCGATGTTGGCTGGATTAGATTCCTATATGCCGCTTAACGGCCATTGATATATAAATCAAAACAGTGGATAATCGAGACTATGCTGTTTATATTAATTATTTTAGTAATGGTGACCGAGACTATGCGAAAATTTCACCCGCTTCATTCTCGGCTCATAGTGGATCAATTTGACTGAAATTTTCAGCAAATTACCTTTACATTATCTAGTTTTTAACTATTATAGCGAGAACTGCAATCTCTTTATCTTATCTCCCATAATGTATCTTTAAAGGGGTATTGGCGTTTTACAGCTCTTGGTCGGTTGGTAAAATGAAGGAGAGAGAGAAATGGGGTTTAACGTCCACTCGACTCAAACTAGGTCAATTCGGGACCAGCAGTGGGAGGAAACCGGAGGGCCAGGGGAAAACCCACGAGTGTGGACAGGCGACCCTACTCCTTGTTATGTAGACCTATAGGGGATCGAAACCACGCCAGTTGACTCAATAACAGACCTTATGATACACCGCACACGCGCTAACCATTGGGCCATTCACCCCCACCACCCACCCTGTATGCAATCTTCCAAACTATCAGCTATATAAACCTGTAAATTTTCAATTTACGTGTCATACAAATGTATTTTCAACAATCTGGTTAAAACACAGATCCTATTTCGTTTCGTTTTTATAGTTCAAAATTTCGTTTTACTTGTCTTTACTACACTTGGATCTGGAAGACTTGAAATGAGGGGTCAGCCAATCAAATGGTCTGTCGAATCGAGTGTTTGACCTTTTTACCCGGAATTGTGGGTAATCCACTAGTAACATCAATGCTGATTGATTAATCAAATGTCTGACATCATAGGGTCATAAGTCGGTCTTTTGACCCCTGACGTGATCTATCGCTATAACTGGTCAGATCTTCATGTAGTGTAGGCCATCGAAAGTATAAAAAAACGAAACGAAATATAGATCTGTATTTGAATCAGATTGTATTTTCAATGACTTTCTCGAACGCCAAGTTATGTACGGTGATTTATGTATACAAATATTTTATTATTATTTTTATTATTTGTTACAATAATAACATGCTGCACGTCTGATCACCAGAACAAGACTACGCGACCACATTAAACCTGTGCTCAAATCCCTCCACTGGCTCCCCATAAACAGACGTATTCAATATAAGATAATCCTCCTCACTTACAAGTGCATCCATGGTTTAGCTCCTAACTACCTGAGTGATCTTATACAAATCCAAAGTGGAGAAAGAACAACTCGATCAATATCAAAACACGACCTTGTTGTTCCAAAAACTTTGAAAGTGTCATTAGGTGATAGGGAATTTTCAGTGGCAGCAACCATCTAATGGAATAAACTCCCAGCAACATTAAAGAAGCCAGAACATTCGAGTCCTTTAAATCATCCTTGAAGACTCACTTATTTAATTGTGAATACCAAACATGACAGTGCAGCTCAGCGCCATCGAGTAAAACAGTGGAATTCGGTTGTCTTTAGTGACGAATCTCGATTGACTTTGAGATTTGCCGATGGCAGGGTCCGAATGTACCGCAGACGAGGTGAACGTTACGCTCAAGTATGCGTCAGAGAAGTTGACCGATTTGGTGGCGGCAGCGTCATGGTTTGTGGTTCTTTTTGTGCACATGGACGTTCTACTCTTGTTGTTGTCCAAGGGAACTTAAATGCTGTCCAGCACAGGGATCAGATTTTGCAACCTGTTCTTCTTCCGTTTATGCAGAGACATGGGCCTGGACTAGCGTTTCAACAAGACAATGCTCGACCCCATACAGCAATTGCTACCCAGAATTTTTTAAGAAATGCCGGTGTCCAAGTCCTGGATTGGCCGTCGCTTAGTCCCGACCTCAATCCTATTGAACACATCTGGGACGAACTGGGTCGACGTGTTCGTCAGCAAGTGAATCCACCACTGACGTTGCAGGACCTTCAACATGCCCTTGCTGAGCACTGGCGACGTCTTCCTCGGGTAGTGTTTACTAATGTTCTGAGATCCATGAGAAGACGTTGTGTGGCAGTACGAGACGCTAGAGGAGGCCACAACCGTTACTAAACACTTTATTCCGATTGTTCTCCAAGTCTGTAAATTTCATTTTGGGGGGTACTGTGACATCACGAACGTTATCAATGTCAAGGACTTTCGGCGAGACGTATTCTTGCTTTCTGTTGATGTCAAGGTCGTCTGTGCACAACATAACACTAAAATAGTTGCCTTAAACCAAATATTAAAAATCTAGTCCCAAAAATCCCGAGTGTCAAGTTTTTAATTTGGCTGAGTATATTTTGTACCTTTGAGAATACTGACATTATTTGTTTACAGAAAACATTTTGGGTTGACTCGTTTGTTGATTCGGTGAAACGATTATGGGATGGTCCACTGTCAATTTGTGAAGAGAAAAAGTGTAGCGATCATTGTTAAAAATGATATTAAAGAATGTGTTATGAATACACAGAAAGATACTGATGACCGGATAGTAAGAGTAGGTTCTAAATATTGACGAACAACTTGTTTTAATAACCATTTCAATATACGCCCCTAATGAGTATAAAGAAATAATTTATTTTTTTGAATGTATTAAACCATTTATTGATACAAATTAACATTTTATTATAGCAGGTGATTTTAACGATGTTTTAGATCCTGGCTTCGATACGGGTTATGATATTAACACGTGCAAAGCGTCTAGTATTGCTTTTAATAGATTATTGAATTCTTCAATTTTATGTGAAATTTACCGTTATAGAAATTCTACTAAAAAGGAAGTCGGTTAGATTATATTCTTGTTGGTAGAAATCTTCTTACATTTTGTCGACATGTATTTATAACTAAAACTAGCTTTAGTGATCATTCCATTGTATCTTTTCTGATTGTGAATGGGCACCTGGCGTAGGGATACATTATTAGAAATTGTATTATATAATGAAATCAATGGTGGATTATTTGAACGTGAGCCATTAGTGTGGTGGGATAATATTCAATATAAGTTTAAAGATACATTCCCGGGTACAAACTGGGTGATTTAAATGATGATATATTTGGACAAAAAACAAATTCAAACTAATTAATTTATCATAAGTTTGCTTCAAATCCTTCTCAAAACATTGCAATTGCCAGGGAATAACCTGGCTATAAACAAATCGATCAAAGGAGGTCATGTTTGTGTCACGTAACTTAACTCTCTCTCGGAGGAGAATTCATTGCATACACAAGACGATGTTGTCTTTAATCGCCGACTATTTATTACAAATATCGAAGCCTAATTAAATTCTCGGATTAACCACTGCCCGCGTCTTTTTCCGTGATTTTTATCTCAGAAACTGTTGTACGTCTAACTCTTCATAAAGTTCATCAACTTGTACATCAAGCGCTCAGTCTCCGCGTGCAATCTTTGGCTGTCGATTAGTTAAACCCTTACATTTTTGTCCTGTATGCGCTCCCTGAGTGTTTTTCAGGGAATCCAGTATTTTTCTAGTAAGATAGGATATTTCTACTTATACCAAGATTGCCATACTTTTATTGGAAATAACCACCCGATAAATACTTTTATGGCAACCTACCTTTAAAACATTATCTTTTATTTATTCAAAGTCAAGGGCTAAGATAAGTAAGAAGAGATTTTGGGATCTTCAAAATGATTTACAAAGAGAATATTGTAAAATAGTTGAAAATAGAAATTACAATGTTGATAAAGGATATTGAGTAAGACCTTTATTCTTTTGAAACAGCACGTTGTCAAGGGTAAGACGCTGGCTCGCTAGCCTCGAGCTCGGGTGTTCGATCCCTGCATTGGCAGAGAAAGTTCACCCAGATTTACCGGCGTGGTTCCCCCTTGTCAGTGATGCAGGACGGAGGGTGTGACAAGGACAGCTGTCTAGTCATTCGGATGAGACAAAAAACCGAGATCCCATGTACACATTGGCGTGCACGTAAAAGATCCCTTGACAGTTGGAATTCGATATAAGAGTAGGCCGTGGGGCCGCTGTTCGGGCAAAATTTCCCTCATAGCACACCGTATGGCGTATGCCCGTCTTTATTAGCCCAGTTCGGAGCAAAACAGTAGGACGTTAAACCCCATTTCATTTCATTTACGTTGTCAAGGGACAATTATTCAATCAAAGATGAAATGGGCTCTTTAGTGTGACAAAAATACAATATACTTTCTAACCCTTGAAAAGCAAAGGCAGGCTTTGAAAATGATAAAAGAAATTAAAACTATAGATGATTGTGTTACTGATACGGGTGATATTTTGTATGAATGTGCATCTTTTTATGACAAACTTTATACTAAAGACTCCATCGATGTTGATTCACAAAATATGCCTTTTTTTCTTTAGTTCAGTCATCTGTCAGAGGATGATAG